TGCTTACGTACCCGCTTTGTCTTCAATATAGTGTCAGGAAGGTGAGCATCACAGAATGCCAGGTTATTAGAACAAAGTGTTCTTGCATTGAGGGAGTCCTTGAGTAGAGGCTCAATGTCCATCCCAGCAATACTTTAATTGTAGCTCTTTTTGTGATCATTTTTAGTACAATATCTCTTCACTATCATTTTCAATATGGTACATATCAATAGATACAACCTATACCAGGGGTCAGCAAGCTACATTCCAATTCAGCCCACCCCCTGCTTTTATAAGCATGGTTTAATTAGAGCACAATTGTCCCTAACCATTTATGTATGATCGATGGGGGCTTTCATTCTGCAGTGACAGAGACTGTGTAGCCTGCAAAGTCTAAAATATGTGCTAAAAAATGTTTGTCAACCCTGAGCCCACATAATCAAAAGCTTTGGGAAGTTCCTGATCATTTTTAAGAATGCAAGAGGTCCGAAGCCTAGAATGTTTGAGAAACACTGGTCTACCCAATCCCAGCTAAGGAGGAGAAAGCTAGGTTAGAGAGAGTTGTGAGAGTGAACATAGGCACTTTCAGATGCCAGGCTCTGTATCCTTTGTTCCATATGTCCCTTGCAGCCAACCTAAAAGATAGACATTGTCTATCTGAGGCTCGGACAGATGGAGTGACGTCGCCGTTGCCTTGGGTTCCAATACTGGAGTGTAGGACATCAAGAAAGAGCCATAGTGCCTCAACAATTAAGTGGTTGGCGGCTAACCAAGATGGACAGTTTGAAGCCACCTGGGAGTGGAACCATTACAGGAGTAGAAAGCCCAGTCTTTATCCCTAGATGTTGCTGGTGGTTTTGAACTGCCTACCATGCAGGTCTCAGTCCAACGTATAACCACTGCACCACCAGGGCAGGGTTTGATACTTTTTGTCTGGCACGAGACAGCAGCCTGGGATTTATCTATGAGGCTCACCTTGCAGGAATTGGTGAATGTACCCTCGATTATGCAAATGAAGTGATGATGGTCCATCGAAGGGATTGGCCAGTCCATGGACTTCTGGGGAGGATCGTGACTTCAAATTGACAAGGTGGTTGCTTATGTATGCTGCTTCATCTGCTTCAGAAATAAAGGAGTGAAAATCAAAGACAAAAGAGGCAGGAAGAGAGCTGAGAGACAAGGAACCTCCTAAGAGAATTGACACACAGGTCAGGGGTTGTCACTGGAGATGGTGAGACACAGAAGGCCCCCTGCAGAGTGGGTGGGGACAGAAGAACCCTGCTGCTAAGGCTCTAGCTAACAGAGCTAAACAAAGCAGCTACGGGGGCTCTGAGCTGGGTCACCGAAGAAGGCTGAAGGCAGAAAGGAGAGACTGCTTGGTTGAGAGGGGGTGCTGTGTCAGTCCGGGTAGACTAGAGAAACAACTCCAGGGAGACTCATCTGTGAATAAGAAAAAGGTTTATATACAAGAGCAATTGAATATTGAGAAAACATCCCAG